GTCGAGCTGTCACTGTGTTGAGGTGTCTGGTAGTCAGTAGAATCAGTGTGTCGAGCTGTCACTGTGTTGAGGTGTCTGGTAGTCAGTAGAGTCAGCATGTTACTCAGTCAGTGTGTCAAGTAATGAGTGTGTTGGTGTGCCAGTCAGTGTGTCAAGATGTCGGGTATTTAGTGTGTTGGTGTGCCAGTCAGTGTCTCAAGGCGCCAGGTCAGTAGTCTTCTGGTCAGTGTGCAGTTCTCAGGGTGTGGCGGTCAGTCTTACGATACTGTGAGATTGGTACCGTCCACCCAGACCCACGTCCCCTCCTTGGCTGTGTCGTTCAGTCCAATCCACACTGTGTCCTTGCTGTTCCCGGACACAAAGCTCTGTTAAACACACAGAGAGAGACCTGTCACCCAGGGAAGTAACTGACCCCACTGGTGTCTTGGAGTGCAGTACTGTACTGCTGAACTGCGGTGCTGTGCTGTGCCAGTCGGCAGTGCTGTACTGTGTTAGCATGCTAACACAGAAACTCCACCCTCCTGTACTGTGTAATACCGCATTGCTGTCCTGCCCCAGCCTGCGCTGTGCTGTTAGGAGTGTGCCGTACCTGCTCCCCCTCATCCTGCAGGATAACCAGGTGGGCTTGTCTGCTCCGGCAGTCCCTCTGGGCTTCTTCCCAGGTTTTCTTCTCCAAGGAGAAGTAGTAGCATGCGTGCAGCTTCCACAGCCTCCAGCCCTCCGGGCAGATCTTGGCCAGCAGGGCGGAGCAGTTGAGGTCATGTCCTGGGTCCCCCCTGGCTTGCGGCGCCCCTGAGGGTCCGAGACGGGCCGCGTCAGGGGACGGGATTCACAGCGCCAGGTCTAGAACAGGGCCGCCCAGTGCCGGGCCTGCTGGACCGGCGTGTCTGGGATTTCAAGGCACATGACGTCTGATTGAGCCCATAATGAGCTGATTTAGCTCGTTAAGGGCACAGTCGGAATTAAAACCTACAGACAGCCCTGGACATGCTGCTGGACAGTCCTGATGCCCTTCCATCAGGTCAGGATCTCCGTGTGAATGTGTCCCAGAGATCCCTGAGGCAGGGATGCCGGGATAGGAAAGCTCACCTGTTAGGAAGCCTTTAGCACACTCACCTTTATTGTCCAGGGTGAAACTTTCCAGGAAGCTGACCAGCAGGGTCAACAGGCTGTTCTTCAGGGCTGTGGGAGGAAGACAGACAGGAGCTGAGATAGGAGACCCTCATCCCTCGCTGTGTCCCCTGGGTGCGTTACAGGAACCTGGGACTAGAGGTTCCATGACGCCAGACCGGCCCGTGAGCCAGGAGGGTCGGCAGAGATCCCATTATCCGCAGCAGTGAGATTCCAGCCGCTCTCCCACGAGAAGCTGAAGAGAGAAGGCAGCTGTTGCTCTCGACACCACTGGGCTTAATCAGTCACTGAATTCAGTCTGGAGGATTCAGACCTTGTACGGCCACATAGCATGCTTGTCCTTGTTCCTGAAAGACAGCTGGAGAAGCGTGGCATCTCAGTCCATACTCACTGGTGTTGAAAGCATCTAGGCTCTGGGTTGTGTGATTCTGGATGTCTGTGATTTCCTTCAGCATGTTGGACACTGGAGACAGACGGGAAAGGAGAGTTAGTGTTGAACAGCAGCGCCACCTGCTGGAGATGTCAGGAACGGATGCCCCCAGCTGGCTTGTCCCAGAGCCTTACCGTTCTCCCCAGTCTTGTAGGACAGATCAGTGATGGTGCTGACATTCCTGCTGACTTGCTCCCTGTATCTGAGGACTGAAAGACAGCGTGCAGACAGAAACACATTCGGTTCAGTGTCTGGTGCTGCGTTGCACTGGCACAGACATACTGGCACACACACATTGGTACACGAACACACACACACCATTCCAGTGTGCATACTAGTGTGTTTATGTGCCAGTGTATGTGTCAGTATGTGTGCTAGTGTGTGTATGTGCCAGTGTTTCAGTGTGCATACCAGTGCGTGTGTGACACTGTGCCAGTGTGTGTACCAGTGTGTGTGTATGCCAGTATGCATACCAGTGTGTGTGTGTGCCATTGTGTCAGTGTGTGTGCCAGTGTGTCAGTGTGTGTGTGCCAGTGTGTGTGCCAGTGCGTGTGTCAGTGTGTGTGCCAGTGTGTCAGTGTGTGTCTGTCAGTGTGTGCCAGTGTGTCTGTGTGTGTGCCAGTGTGTGTGTGTGTGTGTGCCATTGTGTCAGTGTGTGTGCCAGTGCGTGTGTGCCAGTGTGTCAGTGTGTGTGCCAGTGTGTGTACCAGTGTGTTGGTGCGTGTCAGTGTGTGTGCCAGTGATCCTGTGTGTGTGTGTGCCAGTGTGTCAGTGTGTGTGTGCCAGTGTGTCAGTGTGTGTGCCAGTGTGTGTGCCAGTGTGTTGGTGCGTGTCAGTGTGTGTGCCAGTGTTCCTGTGTGTGTGTGTGCCAGTGTACCAGTGTGTGTGTGTGCCAGTGTGCTAGCCCAGGTCTTACTCTTCTTCTCCAGTAGTTTGGCCTTGTCCTGCAGGCGGCTGTTCTCCTGCTGCAGCCTGGACACTGTGGGGATGGAGGACAGAGCGTTTAGGCTCTTCAGCTCACAGGGCTCGCTTCCCTCTGTCCCCTCCAAGAGAAACGACTGCCAGCACTCCAGCTGGCAGGACAGAAGAGCTCTAGGTGCAGGGTCTGAATATGGCAGCAGTCCAGTCGTTATACAGCTGTGTCCAGATGTTCAGTCCAGTCTTTATACAGACATGGCCAGATGTTCAGTCCAGTCTTTATACAGCTGTGGCCAGATGTTCAGGACCACCTCCAAGCATCATTCACCATGCTTGGAGGGTGGGGGGTGAAGCAAAGGCTTCTGGGTAGAGCTGTACTGCGAGTCCAATGTCAGGGGTCTCCAGTCCCGCTGTCTTATAGGTCACCCTGAATCAGCTGGTATTTGACGATTGGGAGCTCTAGAAAGGTATTGACCAACTAAGCATGTCAAGGGAACTGTGGTACTGGAAAACAGAAGGTTTATATCCCAGATTATACTGAAATTAGGTAATTAAACAAAGTCCCACCTTAAGCACTTTACAATTTTATTGAGTTAACGGTGACTCCTTACCCCTGCTACATGGGGCTTCCCCGATCGAGGATGCAGCCCTGGGGCGAGAATATACCGTATAGCGAGAATAGCTGAGTAGCCACAAGAACGGGAGGAACGCGCTTACTCTTGGTCGCGATGACGATCAGCAGGATGATTGACAGCAGGAACAGCAGGAGGAAGACGACTGTCAGCACCCAGCCACGCCTCCCCGTCTCGCTCTCCGCCGAGGAGCTCGAGGCCAGGCGGTCTGCGCGCGTGAGCCGGGGAGAGACGGAGAGAGGGCGGAATTCAGGCACGCGCGCACATTCTTGCAAGAAGGAACAACACACATGTCCACATATATCCAAATATAACATTCGGAAATAAAATAAAACTAAACGGATGTTATAATATCTCTATACATATATTTCTGTTTACGCAGCACAAAGGATTCAAATTATTCTCTGTGTCAAGAGAGAAAAACACATCAGCGATTTTTCTGGGAAAATTCCAGTAGGGGTGTCGGCTTCAACAACATTGCTAAGCAGCTTGTTCCACACTCCCACCACCCTTTGTGTAAAGAAGCGCCTCCTGTTCTCAGTTGTAAATGCACTTCAACATAGTTTCCACTGATGTCCTCCGAAGTGCTTCTTCTCGCTGGACTGATGTCAGCAGAATTTGAACTACTTGAATACTCCGTTTAAGACCACAAAAAAAAGTCCTCATTTGGAAGTCTCAAATGTTTTGCGCAGCGGGTAATACATGGGTGCATGAATTAAACGCACAAACAAATAATTGCACTGGCGGGAATGGCCGAAAGGATCAGCGGCCGTGTTAAATAAAACGTCAGCAGAGCGAAGAAAATTATTTTTCGAGCAAAGGTGGGAGGAGAGGGGGGCGATCTACCACCCGATCTGTTAAAAAAACGCCTCTGCTGCTGGATTTGTGATGAAGTATTTGTGGCTGTTTCGGTGTCTTTTACATTTTAAGAGGCGCGGCCTCAGTCCAGCGGGGATCGGGGGTGAGGTCGGGGGGTGTCTGTGACCCCGAACTGGGTGCTTCTCCCGCTCAGCCCGAACCCCGCACCACCCCGGTCTCCGGCCTCTGGGGTGACCGGCCAGTAGATAATGTGGTCGATGGAGGTTCAGTCACCTAAGCGACGCGGGGCTCCGAAAACCTCCAGTTTGTCACCACACCAGCCGGCGTGTTTACAATCAGCCCACTGGAGACGCGTCGCCAGTGTGAGGGAGGTCGGGGCGACAGATCTGCTGTTTTTTTTTTGTTGTTCCTGTATAAATATATTTTGCATTTCCTGCAGAAATTAGCTGGGCAATAATTTACACAAACACGAGGGAAATAAACAATAATAACAATTATTATTATTATTATTATTATTGTTGTTGTTGTTGTTGTTGTTGTTAGACGAGTTGTGCTTGAATGTGAACTCGGGCCGCGGCGGTTTATTTACTGCTGAGCAAACGGTATTGAAAAAAGATTTTTGTTTTCGCTAAACAAGACCTTACTGGTCCGAGAAAGGTAATTGTGGATAAAACCGTTCTGAGGAAGACTTTCGGAGATACGGCATCGCCTGAATAGGTCTAAAGCGAAAACGGTTTGTATTGCTGAAACGTGTTTTTCACGGACTCGATTTTGCGTGTGGAGAGCAACCAAGCTCTTTTTTTACAGAGAATGCTCGGCTGTTTTAATTAAAATTCGTGTTTAGTTTTTTTTTTTAATTTTACTTCGGATTGTGAGGGGGAAAGACGCCCTGTACAATCCCGCCTGTTTCAAATCGCTTGTTAGACATGGTAGATACTGAACCAGTTTAATAATGAAAATAGCAAAAAAGCAGTCAATCGATAGAATAAATACAATAACTAAATAGTGACCCAATCGCATAATTAAATAAAAAAATAATCAATTGATTAAGGAATTAATTAGTCGACTCAATAGTGCAAGTCAATTAGTGAATAATCAAGTGAATAAACACTCTAGATCATTAGACAATTAATAAAAAGTAAAATCCCAAATAATTAAATAATGAAATCAACGAACAATCAATCGATCTGATATTTAAGTAAATAATCAAATCCGTCATTAAATAACGAAAAACAGTTAATTGATTAGATAAACAATCAAGTGAAATAGGAGATCGAATTAGTAAATAATAACGCAGTATTATTTAAAGAATAAAGCAGTAAATAGTTTATTTATCACAGGATTAAATAAACAGTCAACTAACCACTGAATCGATCAGAGTATTAAATACCTAGTCATTCAGACTGTAAAATAAACAGTCAAGCTATTAGATAATTAAAGGATCACCCCGATAATAAATAACTAAAGACGACAATCAAATAAATAACGGAACAACTAACATAATAAAAGTCTAGGAGCATATAATTAAATAGCTGCGCAATAGAATTAAATACATCATTAGATATTTAAATGACCATCCAAACAAAAGGTCGATAAGATAAATAAGTTGATGTTCTAATTAGCCATCAAATAACTAAAAAACAAACAGAAATTGGATTGATCATTCAGTCAAACAGTAAAATAAACAAATAGCCGATCGAATAAGTAAATAATGAAATAACTGCTCAATCAAATTAGTAGATCAATAATCGATCGCTCCGAGAATTAAATAATTAAGTAATTCAGCAATCGGCTGAATAAAATCGAAGAGCTGGGCAGGCCGTCGCTGTACCTGATACCCATATCTTGCTCCTTCTCGGTTTCCTGGCTCGGTCCTCCCTGACGTCGCCCGTGTTCGGGTTGCGAACGACGTAGAAGTTCTCTCTCGCCATCCCGCCGGAGCAGCGCCCGAGTTCAAGCACACCGACCCGGCCAGCGGCTGTAGGAGACGCGGGGGTGAAACGAGGCTTTTGTCTGGGGTCCAGACGTTCAAGGAATTCGGGGGTTTTTCGAGTTCAGCTCTCCGGCTGTCCGCGGAATTTCCGCCTTTGAAACGATTTTGATTAAAAACCTGCAAACGATCCGAGCTGCTGGGCGTGACGTCACTCGCACCCCTCCACCCGGTACCCCACAGGGTGCGCGAGCGGCGGGGCGGGCAGATGTCGGAGATGACTGTATCGCACACTCGAGTATCGCGTCTCTCTATCGCCCAGCTCTTTTCATCCTGAACCTGATAAAAATGAAGCCAAAGAAACCGCCACACAGGTGTGCTTGTGGAAGATAGCGTGCGGTCGGCGGCAGAGCCCTGATGAAATTCAGGAGGAAATCTGACAGGATGTTTTCGCGGTTTGTCAGCATCGGGCATCGACCTCACCCTGGTTTCTCCATGATTCATACGGTGTTTATATATAATAGCTTTACTATGCTTTTACCACAACCTCTGGGCTTTACTGCACTGGACTGTGCTTTTAGCCTGATCTCTCTGGGCTTTACTGCACTGGACTGTGCTTTTACCCTGATCTCTGTGGGCTTTACTGCACTGGACTGTGCTCTTACCCTGATCTCTCTGGGCTTTACTGCACAGGACTGTGCTTTTACCCTGATCTCTGTGGGCTTTACTGCACAGGACTGTGCTTTTAGCCTGATCTCTCCAGGCTTTACTGCACTGGACTGTGCTTTTAGCCTGATCTCTGTGGGGTTTACTGCACAGGACTGTGCTTTTACCCTGATCTCTGTGGGGTTTACTGCACTAGGCTGTGCCTTTACCCTGATCTCTCTGGGCTTTACTGAATATAGGAATGGCTTCAAACGAGAGGAGCCATGTGGCCCATCTGCCTTGTTCGGTAGCAGATAGATCCCAGGATCTCATGCAGCTGTTTCTCGTAAGAATCAAACTCTTTACTGTAGCTTACTGTGCTTTAACCTCAGGATACCACAGTTTCACCATCTGAGACGCTCCCGGTGTGAGTTAGTGTGCTCTGTTGCAAGACTCAGAAAACAAGACAGTAATAACATGCACCACGCGCGCTGCTTTTGTGCTGTTCTTTTATTGCTTCAGAAGTGCGAAAGCCAGCGACCGAACGAAAACAACCGCAGAGGTTCAGTCTGACACGTACCGCAGAGAGGTACAGACCACCCCCCCCCACTCTTCCGGGCCGGGCTGGGCTGCCGGCCACGCCGAGCGCGGGGGCTCGCTCCCAGCGGCCTCGGCCCCGCAGTCAGCACCTGCACAGCTGGCGGACGGTTCTCAGTGAGGCCCAGGCCTCCTGTGTCTGTGTGTCTCTCATACCTTACATTTATACAGCGCCTTTCATCCTACAGGCCCAAAGCACTATCTCCCCCCCTCCCACACCCTCAAAGACAAAGACATGCTTAGAGTTTTCTAATCGCTAAGGGTTGGCTCTGCGCCGGCGTCACAGGAGCCTCCTCTCGCAGATGAAGGCCAGGCGATCCTCACAGGACAGGGCGTTCCACCTGGACGAGCCGGGGACGAAGTGCACGCAGTCCTCCCGCCCCTGGTAGTCATCGGGCTGGCCCGTGTTCCATAGCCTGCGGGACAGGGACAGGGACAGGGACAGCCCAGGGCCCCGGCCCACACACGGTCAGACACACGGGAGGCTTGAGGAGCACGCGGGGACAGGGACAGGGACAGGGACAGGACAGGGCCCCGGCCCACACAC